GAGAGAGAGAGAGAGAAATAATGGTGTGCATGATCATCTTTGTCACAGCCAAGAGCAATCACTGTCAGGATGGATATGGTGGGGATGACCTTGATTGCATAGCCTCAGGAAAGGATGAGCCCAATCAGAAGTGAGTGTTACACGATATGTTGTATTTGATATCATGGTCACCTTGTCCACCCGGGGATCATCATGTTGTTGAGGATACAGAATAATGATTGATGGCTGAATTTGGCTCAATGTCATGGTGACTTCATATTTCGCTTGTGGTCACCGAGGCAAGGTATTGTCTTAAGCAATTGGAATGAATGAGCTTTTCGACCCAAACTATTTTGGTAGCAGACTACTATTAGGAATAATACAACAATACTGGTAAAAGGATGGGACTGCAAAACATGCTTATGAGGCTTTAACAATACAGAAAAGTTTATGCTTACACAATTCCAGCATCCAAGATGTCCAGAAGCAACAACAAGTAGCAGCAGACTTCTGTTGACACCAAACTACACTGTCACTCTCATGCAGAGGACAACAGTTATGGTTACAAAATTTTGCCAAGCGCCAACATTGGTCAGCATGGAAGGCTAATAACTAGTAGCCCTACACTGATGAGTTCTAGAAATACGCTCCATTGTTTTTCACTAATTTAGTTGACAGCTGGATGGAGACTGCACTATGGTTTCAGTTGTGTGGAGTTTATATAAATCATCTTCTCAGTCTTAGATAGTCTGTTCATATCTTCCAGCTCCTCTTAATCAGCAGTAGAATGAAAATGAAAGATCATTTTTCCACCCTCCTTATTCACATGAACAGAAATGAGGATGAGAGAAGAAGAAAGGAGAGGAGCAAGGCTATAAAAATTAACTGCTTATGAAGAATGCCTTCAACCTTCTGGGCTCTGTGAAAGTGTTATTCTGATATCTCTACTGATAAATTACTGTATATGAACAAGTCTCTAGAAGAGTAGTTTAAAATGTATATCAATTAGTTACAATTTCATGGATTAAAACTACAATGGACAACCAAAACAAAGACAGAATTTTTTCATCAGATAGTAACTTACGACCTACCACGTCATAAAAACACAACCAGGCTAAGGCAGGTTCTTGTTCAGCTGAGGAAAAATTCTAAGCCAAATCCTGAATAGATAAAAAGGGAAGACAAGACGCCACCATTTATTTGACAGTTACTCCATGTGGCAGCTCAGAACTATTAAAAAGGTCAGGACCTTGTCTGGTAGTCTTGTCATTAACATGGCTATTAATGCCAAGATCATGAGGGGGATGGTTTTACCATGACACACCATTATAGTTCAGTCATGTTCAAACACTTCTGAAAATACATCCTTAAATCTTTGAGGTTATCACTGATATTCACTGGAGGGTAGGAGGCGGTGATAAGAAACTACAGTTTCTGGTCTTATCAAATTTATATCAGTGATAGCTGCAAAGAGTTGTTGATATAAGGATGTATTATGTGTTATTTGAACAAGGACTTTGGGAAAAGCTCAAGGAAAAGCTGGAAGGATACTGGCAGGGTCATAGGTTTGAACCGAACAGTGAGAGTGTGTGTGAGATGAGGAGAGGCTTCAAGAAGTGCACGCCTCCAAGCCCTGTTACCTTGTTTGCACCAACAGATCTACCAGACACACTCTCTCTCTCTCTCT